ACAAGTAGTCCTTGACTTACAACCATTTGTTTAGTTTGTTTGAAGTTAGACAACGACACTGAAAAAAAAGTGACCTGTGTCCGTTTTTCACACTTCACAACCATGCCAGCAGGTCACGTGATCCAAATTCAGTTGCTTGCCAACTGGTTCGTATTTATGACGGTTTGCAGTGTTCCCGGAGTCATGCGATCCCCTTTTGCGACCGTCTGACAAGCAAAGTGGGGAATCCAGAGTCACTTTTAACCACCGTGTTTCTAATTTAACAACTGCAAGGATTCCGTTAACAACAGGGGCAAGGAAAGTCGTACAGTGGGGCAAAACTCACTTTTAACGGATTTCTCCCTTAACAACATAAATGGGTGGGCTCCATTGTGGTCGTAAGTTGAGGACTATCTGTAATCTGTTATTGTGCTTAAACACCTGCTGAGTGATGCAGAAAATCTGGAGGCATAAATATTTTGCTGTTGCTACAGCAGAGGGGTCAGGCTCCGAGCTCACTCAGAGCCCGTCGGTTCCAAATATGCCTCGCAGCAAGTCGGCCGGCCATGTCACCTTATCTCTGCTCCTGCCAGGTCTGAATTTCTGCTTGTGTGCTGGCCGATGGCTTTGGAATGACTCAGCAGAGCTGAGGATGGATTCTGCAACAACTGCGGGGCTGCTGGAAAGGGCTCTTTTCATGTATTGATGTGGCGTATATTGTTAAAGGGGGTTGGGGCACATATATGGTGGTCATTAAGACTTAGGTTAAGACATGGTGAAGGTAGCACCAGGTGGGGATCAGTTAGTGAGGGTCGGAATAGGGTAGACATGTTATAGGCTTAATAGCATTTAGGGATAATGGGTTAGGCGTGGCCAGAATTAGAACTGCGTATAGGCCTGGGTGTGGCGGGGTATGAGAAGAGGCTGAACTGCAGCCCACGTGTTCGATTTTAAAACATACAGAGCTTCGGTATCCAAGAGCCGTTTATCTTTTAATGATCAAATGTTTGAGACAGTCAACAATTTTTGATTAGGAGGCAGACAGGTCAACGGGTCTCTGGCCGTTCGGTTTCTCCAATACTAACTATATTCAAAAGCACTTTTTTGTTTTCTTTTGTTTTTTGCATTTAGGTGTCAGGAACTTTAGAACAGGGGTTTAGCTCCCCCAAATCGGATCATTCGTCGTCTCATGTCCTGAAGGTGCAGCTCCCTTTGGAAAAGAAGCAAGAGGATGATTGGGAGGCCACTCTGTCAGGCAAGTCAGCTTGAACCCTCAGTTTTGTTGGGGTTAGGGTTAGTGGTTTCTTTGTGGTCTCTTCTCCCCTTCCTCCGTTGTCCCTGCAGAGTTCCCAGGCAGGAGTGCAAGCTCCCTCCGTTGGTTTTGCGATGTTCCTCCTTTAACTTCCCCTAAACACTCTAATAACACAGTTGGAAGGGACCTTGGAGATCTTCTAGTCCAGGGGTGTCGAACTCGTTTTCATTGAGGGCTGCATCAGGTTCGACCTTGGGCAGCCAGGGTTGGGGTGGGAGGGGTGGGCGTGGCCAGCTCAACATCACTCGTGTCGGGGGCACCTATGGTGGCCCGAGGATTCTGCCAGCAAAAGGTTCCCGAGCTCCGTTTCCGGCTGCGACGGCCTCCCGCAACCCTCTGCCAGTGAAAACAGAGCTTGGGAGGACCATACACAGACCTGCTGCCAGCTGTGATGGCTTCCTGAAACCCACTGCCAGCAAGAATGGAGCTTGTGAGGGCCGCATGCAGCCTTCCCGACCTCTTTTTGCTGGCAGAGGTGCCGCAGGCCAGTCCTTCACTGTATCCAGGGCGCCCCATGGGCCAGATCTAGGCCCCTGGGTCTTGAGTTTGACACCCCTGGCGTACACTGAAATGGTACCTATTTATCTACTCACATTTATATGCTGTCGAACTGCTACTGTATTTCCCTGAAAATAAGACCTAAGTGGAAAATAAGCCCTGCCGTGATTTTTCAGGATGCTCGTAATATAAGCCCTACCCCCAAAATAAGCCCCAGTTAAGATCATCAGCCAGACGGATGCATTTAGTAAGTCCACACACGATGGATGTATTGAATTATAAAACAATATTAATATACAGTTAAATATAAATAAATGATATTATTGACATTAATATTTAAAATAAATGATAATATAAATTAATGATTTGTTATTTGTAAATACCCAAGCGGGTACCTTTGGACGAGAGGTAAACAACTACGTAAACAGATGCACTTGAGACTTATTGCCGAATGACCAATTGGAGTACAGACACAATGCACAAATAATGCACACTTGATAACAAACAGACGTGTTTTATAATTCAATACATTGTGTGTCATAATGGATGTACTTAATGCACTCGTGTGAAGTAAACGTTTTCTGAATTTTGGTGACCGTCATTCTTAACTGTCGTCCTTTTTTGTTGCCACTCCTGTCTCGTAAGTCTTCAATTAACGCTTGATTTAATGGTAGATTTAAAGGGAATAATATTTTGACCCCCAGACAAGATGAGTGCAAAAAGAAAGAGCTATTCCGTCGAGTACAAGAAAGGAATCGTGGAGGACTCTTGGGGCAAGACTCTTACGGCTTTCTGCAGAGAGAAGAAGTTGGATCTCCGAATGGTCCGAAAGTGGCGAGCGGAGTACGATAACCTCAGCCAACAGGTGGACGAGGGAAACGCTAAGAAGCGCAAGTGTGGATCGGGTCGGCCACCCTTATTTCCTGAACTGGAAGACATCATCTGTGAATGGATCGCTGACAGGCGAGCAAAGGGTTTGGTTGTGCGCAGGGCTGATATTCAAGCATTTGCTCTTGCAATGGCATTCCAGTTAGAAATACCACCGGAAGAATTCAAAGCGTCAAAGCACTGGCTGGATGGCTTCCTTCAGCGGTACGAACTGTCTCTAAGAAGATCGACAACGCTGTTCAAGCTGGAAGACGCCGAAGTTATTAAACGTGCCCTTGCCTTCAAGTCCTTTGTTGACAGCATCGATTTTTCTCAATACCAACTCTCCAACATGATTGCTATGGATGAAACTTCAGTGTTTATGGGCCAAGGATCTCAAACAACAATTGATCAGAGGGGGTCCTCGTCAATCTACATTCCTTCCACTGGTTACGAAAGCGCACGCGTGACCTGCATTTTGGCCATTCGCCTGGATGGAAGCAAAGCCCCGCCTCTCATCATCTCTAAGGGCAAGGAAGAGAAGATCGAACATGTTTCAGGCACTTACGTTCTCGAAACCGAAAAAGCCTGGTGCACGCAAGCGGTTGTGAGGAAGTGGGTCGATTTAATGCTGCCACTTGTTTTGCGTGGTGGCCAAAGAGGTTTGCTAGTCTGGGATTCAGCCAGCACTCACCGCACTAAAGACATGAAGACCTTCCTTGCAGAGAGAAGGATAGATCAAATAATGATTCCCGCAGGAATGACTGCCTATCTCCAGACTCTCGATATTGCAATAAACCAGCCATTCAAGGACCATTTGCACATGGAAATCAATGACTACATTGAAAATAAAATGGAGAGGAATCAGCACGGAAGCTTTGTGAAGCCCAGCCTGCAAGAGGTTGTGACTTGGGTGAAGAATTCATGGGATAAAATCACCGATAGCTGTGTTGCCAATGCACTACGAGCCGGCTACATGGACAAGAGGTGCTCATTTAAGGAGAGCTCTATTGCTGGGCATGAGAGATTGGGGCCAGTGGTTCTACAGGAAATGGACTCGCAAGAAATCCAGGACAGAATTCGGGGTTTGGAGAGTTACGACGATGTTCCAGAAGAAGATGACATGACTGTATTTGAATAAATGTAGATTTTTGTGCATGCATGAATAAATGAATAAATGTAGATTCTTGTATGTGGGAAGGGAAAATAAGACATCACCTGAAAAGAAGCCCTAGTGCATCTTTTGGAGCAAAAATTAAAACAAGACCCAATCTTATTTGGGGGGAAATACAGTAGGTTGGTAGGAGCTGAGGCAAATGTTGGGAGCTCACTCTGCCACGCAGAGTTTGGTAGGACTCAAACTGCCAAGGTGTAGACCTTTCCTGGCTTTTAGTGTAACACTACAACCTCAACTTTTTACTTTTATTTACTTATATATTCTATAACAAAACAATCTAATCAACAAAACCCAAAGTTTCCCCCCACCTCAAGTACAAAGTCAGTAGCGTTTTCCAAGTAGAAACAGTTAGCTGTATTTTTTTTTTCTTTGATTAGGAAAGCTAACTTAGTCACCTCTGCTAATACCATCAGTTTTCCATTGTGGAATTTAATTGTGGAATTAAAATATCTTTCCATTGTTGTACATAGAGCATTATTTGCTGCTGTCAGCACATATAACAAAAGTTCATATTTCCCCCCCCCCCCCAAGATCTTTGTCCATTAAACCTAAAAGAAAAGTATATGGTTTTATCTTTATATTCGCTTTAAGAATCTTCTGTATTAAGATGTGAATCCTATTCCATTTTTTTCTTTTTTGTTGCTTTGTTGCAAGCCCACCAAAGAGGGTAAAAGTTCCTCCTTGACCTTAACAGATTCCATGGACTCCTTGTACTCCTGAAGGCCAAAGAGGGAACAAAGCTTTTGTGCCTTCCAGATTTGGTGAAGATGGAGAGACACCTATCCTAACTTTTATCTGTTTTTGTCACCACAGGGAATGAACAAGTGCAGGAAGAGGAAGAGGAGGAGGAATCCTTCCAGCCCAACCACCCTGAACCAACCGTTAGTGGGGGGTTATCCCTGGAAAGGGCAACAGGGAAGGGTTTCCAAGGCTCCGAATCGGACGAGAACCCCGAAGGTCCCTCTGAAAACCATCCTGGAAAGGTGACCAAACGCTTTGAGGAGAGCGGCAGGGGTCCACGCGAAAGCTCCTTTCAGGAAGGGATTCCTCGGCACGTCGACTCAGGGGAAAGTTCCTGCAAAAGTTTTGGCCCTCAGGAAATTCAGCCAATGGAGAAACCCCACAAGTGCTCGTTCTGCGGGGCCAGTTTCTACGAGAGAACGCACCTCATCATCCACGAGAGGATCCACACTGGAGAGAAGCCGTACAAGTGTTCGGTCTGCGAGACGTGGTTCTCTCATCCCTCCGAGCTGATGCGGCACGAGGAGACCCACATGCCCGAGAAGCCGCACAAATGCGCCGTCTGCGGCAAAAGCTTCAACCAGAAAGCCTCCCTCATCACCCACGAGCGGACGCACACGGGGGAGAAGCCCTACGAGTGCTCCGAGTGCGGGAAGAGCTTCAGCACCAGCTCCCAGCTTATCACCCATAAGAGGGTCCACACGGGGGAGAAGCCCTACAGTTGCTCCTACTGCGGGAAGAACTTCAACCAGAAGGCCTCCCTGATCACGCACAAGCGGACGCACACGGGCGAGAAGCCCTACGAGTGCACCCTCTGTGGGAAGAGCTTCAGCGCCTGCTCCCAGATCATCAACCACATCCGGGTCCACACGGGAGAGAAGCCCTACGAGTGCCTGGAGTGCGGGAAGCGTTTCGGCAGCAGCTCCCACCTGACGGATCACAAGCGGACGCACACGGGCGAGAAGCCATACAAGTGCCCCGACTGCGGGAAGAATTTCAGCCGGAGTTCCAACCTTACGGCTCACAGTCGGATCCACACAGGAGAGAAGCCATATATATGCTCAGGTTGCGGCAAGAGCTTCAGGCAAAAGGCCTCCCTCATCACACACAAGAGGACTCACACGGGGGAGAAGCCCTTTGAATGCGCCGAGTGCGGGAAAAGTTTCATTTCCAGTTCCCGTCTCGTCAGCCATAAACGGGTCCACACGGGGGAGAAACCCTACGAATGCTTAGAGTGCGGGAAATGCTTTATCTCCAGCTCCCACCTTCTAAGTCATAAAAGGGTCCATACAGGAGAAGAACCATTGAAATGCTCGTAGAGCGCAAAGCATTGCCGATGTGGCACCAGGCTGGTTTCCATGAGACTCTGGCGGGGAATCCTATATCTCTGGGATGGCATAGCATCTGTAGCTCCGAAGGCCGTTCCATTTCCTCGATGTACCATTGAAAAGTTTTGTTTGTTTATTAGTTTTAAAGAACTTTGGTGTGTTTTTTTTAAAATAAGCCCAGGGATGTTTCTGCAAGATCTACTTTCTGGTTTGCTTGGTAAGGCCAGCTGACATGCACTCTGGCCATTGCGTACCTGTGCACACATCATCATGTAGAAGATGCAGGCTTGGCTTGTGTGAACAGCGCTCTGCACTTCCTGAAAGAGGCAGAAGGGATCGTTCATGGATGTAAACACCAAGTATGCAGGATACTTTCCAAGCCAGTGGAGCCAAAGGATTGATTCAAAAAAAAAAAAAAAGTCTGCCTCACATGACCGCTCTACCAGTCTTAGCAGCTGAGAGTGTGACCTAGCCTTGCTATAAGATAGAGCAGGATTGGGCAATTATGGCCCTTTTAGGACCCACAGACTTCAACTCCCAGAATTCCAAGGCAGCCATGCTGGCTCAGGAATTCTGGGAGTTGAAGTCCACAGGTTGTAAAGATGCCGTAGTTGTCCATCCTTGAGATAGAGAATAGCTGAGGGGAAATATGACAGTTGGATCATTGGAAAATGAAGAGATTTTTCTAGATCCTATGTCTGCCATCAAGAGAACTTTTCCCTGTTTTCCCTCAGAGAGAACTCTAAAAAGTCCCTGAGTAGTCACTGCTCTGAATATTGTTAAAGATGTAGGAAATACTTAACCTGTGTATATTTTACACCCCTAAACTAAGCGTTCTCCAGTAATTTCCCCCTTTCTGCCACAAAACTGCAGATTGTGAAATGTGGCCCGAGTAGATGCAGGGAACACCTTAAGGCTGGGTTCACATAACACTCTAAATCAATCTTTCTCAACCTTGGCAATTTTGGACCTCAACTCCCAGAATTCTTAGCAGTGGCGATGCCGGCTGGAGAATTCTGGGAATTGAAGTCCACACAACTTAAAGTGGCCAAGATGGAGAAACTCTGGGCTAAATCCTAACTTCAGGTTGATTAAAGCACAGTTGCTCAATGTTATTCACCTAAACACACTAAACAAGTAACGAGAGCTCAATGAGATGGCCCAGTTCACTCAACTCTCCAAGACAAAGAGAGGTTACACGTAGTCCTTGACTTAGAGGAGCCCACCCATAGTCATAAATCATGAAAATTCTAAGACAGTTTTATGGCCTTTTTGCATAAAGCAAACACCATGGTATTAAGCAAACACTGAGGGCTTTAAGCAAACCAATGGTTTGCTATAGGCATGGTTTTGCCGATGGCGGTTTTCAGCGAAACTGAGGTAAAACGCAGTCACATGACTTTGGGATACTACAAATGGCCGTCAAGGAACCCTTGTTGCCAAGCGCCCAAAGTTTGGTCACGTGATTGCTGGAGGGGGGCGGCCATCAAAACTTCGAATTCGGGTCATAAGTTGCAAGAAAGATCCATCTTAACTTTGGTTGCTAAGCAACCAGTTATAAGTTGAGGACTACTTTCAAACCCAGATCAGGAGTTACTCCTAGGATGCTTAGGCTCTTGTAATTGCACGGGATGGCTGCTCTTGTATCTCTTATGCAGATCTGGGAAACTGAGGCCCCTTTACTACCAATGAACTTCTGTCTGGCTCAGGAATTCTGGGAGTTGAAGTCCACGAGATCATAAAGGGGCCAAGGTTGCCCGCCCCTGCTCTTACACGTCAGCACTGCATCCTGTAATGTTTGGAGACTTACGGACTGAGATGCCAGCAGAACGCAGGAGTAGATGGCATGAATTTGCATTGCCCCTCTTCTTAATTTCTATCATCTCTCCCTTTACGTGTGTAAAAAATGGGAATCGGGATACATACTTGCCAAAAAGTTTGCGCAAGGGAGAATTTGAGGAGTATGACGTGTTTTGGTGAGGAAAAAAACAATCATTTTCACACAAGTTCACACATGCGTGACTTGAGCAATGTTCTCATTGCAGAACATGGGGACTTGGAAGAGATACAGTGACATCCGGTCTCTAGTGAACCTTTTCACCCATACGAAGTCCTTCTTTAAAGCTTCGTGCATCCAGCAAGCATGTAGTTTGCATGTCTGAACTGCTCCAGGGGGTGTTTTGTTTATGTTCTGGAGAATGGGGTGTGTTCTCCTATCCCCATGCCCCCGCGTGCATGTGGGAAAATAGGGAAGAGAGGGGGGTCTGGTTCATTGCAAAGAAAGGAACTTACAGACAAATAGGAAGGAAGAAGCTGGGGTATGTCACTATCAAATGAGCGTGATGGAAAGGGAACATACACTGGATGTAGAAATTCTGCACACCCCTGTTAAAATACCAGATTTTTGAGATGTAAAAAAAAAAATCAGACCAAGATAAATCATTTCAGAATTTTTTTTCCACCTTTAATGTAATATATAAGCTGTACCATTCACTCGGAAAACAAAATTATTTAGTGGGGAAAAATTTAAAAAAATAGAATGATGTAGCTGTATAAGTAAGTTGTTCACACCCTCTTATAAGTAGTGATGTGGCTCTGTTCAGAAGTAACCAATCGCGTTCAAACTGATATTAAATAGTACATACCTGCCATCAATTGCAATGACTCTGATCAAGCCTATTAATGTTCAGCTGTTCTAATGGGATTTTTTTCTGATGTTTGCTCAGTTGCCTCTTACAGCAAAAACTTTGGTCTGCAAAGAACTTACAAAGCATCAAAGGGACCTTTTGTTGGAAGGTATCATCAGGAAAAAAAAATACATAAATGTTTTCGAGGCATTGGATGTATCACGGAACACAGTGAAGACAGTCATCAACAGTGGAGAAAATATGGTTACAACAACAGGGTCATTACCAAGAACTGAATGTTGTTTCAAATGTGATAAAAAGAGAACACTTTTGAGATTTGAGAGGCTGCCCAAAAGGCCTACAGCAACATCAAAGGAGCTGAAGGAATTGCCGGCAAGTACTGGTTGTGCACTACATGTGAAAATAACTAATACTTTGGGAGAAACAATCGCCAGACATCAACACCCCAATCAGCATTTAAAAAGCCACATACAACAGGCACCATATAAATATCACACAAGAGAACAGTCCAAAGCACACACTCTGCTAGAGACAAGTTCCCTGAAAAGATGGGCTCCGGCACGAATCCAAAAGCCTTGGATGGAAAACAACTGGTCCCAGTGACCGACCCAGATTGGATCCTCCAACGTTATCCTGGGACATGTATATTTGCCTTCACTCATGACAATCTCCCATATTTGTCATATATCTAGACTGTGGGGTAGTGGGGCAAGATGGAAGCCTTTTCTTATTTAAAAAAAAAAAATCCTATCAAAGCCTGGCTAAATTTTGCGAAAACCTACATTTAATTTGACAAAAGCATGTGGGAGAAATGTGTTATGGTCTGATGAGATCAAGGTCGAACCTTTTGGCCATTAATTGCAAAAAAAAAAAAGAAAAATGTTTGGCACAAAAGCAACACTGCACATTATACCTGAAGAAGCATGATGGTGGCAACGTTAGGCTTTGAGGCTGCTTCTCTTCAGCTGGAACTGGGACTTTAGTCAAGATGGAGGGAATTATGAACATTTCCAAGTGTCAGTCTATTTTGGCAGGATATTATTGAATACTATACTATAATGCTATTCAGGCCTCTGCTGTACTGAAGATGAAGAAGGATTTAACCTTCCAACACAATGATCCAAAGCATTCCTCCAAATCAATAAAAGAATGTCTTCACTAAAAGATCCAAGTTTTGGAATGGCCCATACCTGAATCCAATTGAAAACGTGTCCGGGGAGGTGTAACTTCAAGAGGATTGGGCATAGGAGATGCCTTCACAATCTAACGAAGTAGGAACACTTTTGCAAGGAAGAGCGGACAAAGATTTCCAAGGCAAGATGTGCCATGCTAATAGCCTCCTTCCCCCAAAAAGACTGCATGCTGTCAGAAAAATCAAAAGGTGCATCAACTAAGTATTAATTTAAGGGTGTGCGTCTTTACGCAATACTGTTGTACATTTTTATTGTTAGTTTCCCCTCGAGAATATTTCAGTTTTTCAATTGAATTGTGCAGCTTGCATGTTACATTAAAGGTGGGGAAAAATTCTGAAGTGATTTTTTTTTTTGGATCTGTTCTTTTTTTACATCGCAAAACCTGGCATTTTAGCAGGGATATATAGAATTTTTTTTTTAATAGGCACTCTACATGTTATACAAAGCAAACCTTGAGCCAGAGAAGAGCTGCATTAGCCTATGTTCCCTTTTTAATGTTCTTTCTTTTTCCCCTTTGCTCTCTAGATAATGAGCACAGAGGTGAAGGAGCAACTCTGTAATGTTTCTTCCACTGTTTGGGTCAGTGAGATTGAAAGCAGGGAGGATTCTGGGAAAAAAAGAGAAGTTGAGGTTGGCAGTCTCTTCCTTCCTAGCCCTTAATTTCTGGAAACCAGGACTGTACCAAGCTATTTAGAAAGTTAGGGGGTGGGTTTTCTGGCTTAAGTTTTTCAGTAACACTTCTCCGATCTGTATTAACACCAATTTTATCATTTAGGGCAATGCGTATCAAACTTGGCAAATTTTAAGATGCGAGGACCAACTCCCAGAATTCCAAGTTTGAAAAACATTGGTTTGGAGCTTCTCTCAGTCTTTCCCTGCTTGTTTACATGGATTTGGGTTCATTTATATGTTGGGAACATGGACTCTTAAAAACAGTTCCGTGGAGAACATAGTTGAGTAAAATTGATACCGTCCAACTCCATAAATGGTAACCTATCTCGGGGCACCTTAATAGGAGTTGAGAAGGGGGAATCTCAATTTGTCTTACAGTAATCCTGCTGCTAGGCTAGGCTAGGCTAGGAGGCACATTAAGGATCTTGGGCAGGGCTGTCAAACTCAAGGCCCGTGGGCTGGTTGTATCATGCGCTGGCCACGCCCACACCCTGTTTAGCATTAAGGGGGAAAAGTGATATGTGACGCTGCTACGACGAAGTGAGTTTCACACCCCTGATCTATGGGGTTACTCTCTCCCAGACAAAAAAAATGGATTGGGAAGGGAAAGATTTACAACACACCACAATGTGGAGACTGTCCAATAGAAGACAGCACATAGCTAACCTTGGTTGTTCTTAGAAACAAACTAAGCCAGCATGAGTTGAGCCTCATTCATAGGGAGTATATTTTAGTCTCAGCTGGCAGTTTTGCCCTCGAGGTATTTCTAAGCGAGAAGGTTCTGCGAATATTCTCTGTATTTGCTTAGTACTCTTGAAATTCCTAGTTGGGTGATTATAATAAATTTAAATAAATAACAATAAACGACTGTGTAGGAATGCTGTTCCCCTTATAATCATAGGATGTTCTTTCGCCAACGCTTGTCCTCTCCCGATGAAGAAGAAAATGGAGATCCCTCACACACACAGCTCTGAGTCCCATCCCATCTGATTTGGGGTTCTGTGTTTCATGAGGCAGGAAAGATTTGAACACAGGTCTTGCCAGTCCAGGAGAAGTTCCACGAGAGCTTTGCCAACCTGGTGCCCTCAAGATGGTTGGGCAGAAGCTCTCACCATCCTCAGCCAGGCTGGCCTCGTCCAACGGTGAGCGTTATAATCTGTTGCTGCTGGAGTGTTCCAGACTGAAGAACAGTAGGGTCGAGCCCACCTGCATCCCAGAATTAAAATTGTTTTAGTGTGTATCTAGCTAGAAGAAAATCCCTTTCTTCCATGAAAACGGCAACAACAACATTCAGTTATGGTCCTGATTAAGCCGCTGTGTCTCGGAATCTGCCTTTCCTCCAAATCCAGATTAGCCAGTGCTTCCTTCTGAGATGCTTGTGATTCCGCCGGCCTTTTCTCCAGTTCTCTGGCTTTCTCTTTAGATGAAACTTCGCCTTTCGCGCCCGCCTGTAGCCCCTCAACCTGTATGCATGCCTGCTTTATTCGCACAGAGAGGCACGGAGAGGGGTGAGCTCTGCTTTTCTTCCCGTGAACGTTTGTGATTCTGTAGTTGTAAATGCATTAAAAGTATCTTTAATTTATCCACGGGTGTTTTCTTGTCGGTTATATCTTACACTTTTTTTTTTTGGTGTGGACTCTTTTATTTAATTACCTCAGGGATAGGAGAGACACATGGCTCTGCTCTGTTAACTAATACAACGACTATTTTATGCTACGCTTATTTATGGGGAGATGGTGGTTTCTTGGCAAACTCAGCTCCCTGAGGTAGCCTGGAGCTTCTCTGCTATCCTGGTTTGAATGCACCCGTTAGAACAGGGGTGTCAAACTCAGTTTCACTGAGGGCCGCATCAGGGTTGCGTTTGACCTTGATGTGGCCAGGTCAATGTCACTCATGTCAGGGGCACCTGTCCTAAAGCAGGACTTTCCTCAGATCCTCCGTCTGATTATAATCTCTCCATTCTCCTTTCTTCTTCCCCTCTTCCCTCCTTTTTCCTTCCTTGCTCTCTTCCCATCTTTCCTTATTTTTGTCTTTCCATTTGCCCTTTCTCTTTCCCTGTTCCTTCTTGTATGCTCAAATGCAAAAGGGGAAACATTTCTCCTTTTGTTTTTAGTTTGTTTTGCTAGCCCTCTGCCAGTAAAAAATGGAGCCCGGCACACGGCCCTCCCGAGCTCCATTTTCACTGGCAGAGGCACCGCGAGCCAGTCCTTCGCTGTTTCAGAGTGGCCCCACAGGCCAGATGTAAGCACCCTGTGGGCTGGACGTGGCCCACGGGCCTTGAGTTTTACACCCCTGCTTTAGAAAGTTCCCTCTGGTGGCGGTGGAAACTTTCGTTGTCCAATGGAAAGACGTGGGAAGAATTATTGTATGCCAGCTTGACTCCCTCTGTGGGGGAAATAAGCAGTGATATAAATCTGATTAATAAGAATTCAGGAAGCAACTGAGAAGGAGAGACTTAATCTTGTCCTCCCCATAGATTGAAGCCTCTGTTATTCTTATTTATTTATTTATTTATTTTATTAGAAGTATGGCTTTATATGTGAAGATAAAGGGTCAAAAATTAAGTCCGTGCCGGAGACAGGAAGTGGATAAACCTGGGAGGTAGAGAAACTTGTCCTTCTTGGGTCTCTTGTCCTCTGTTTTGGAGCCAAATTCTCAGCACCCACACTCAACATAACTACTGTGTTTCTCATAAAATAAGGCCGGGCCTTATTTTTTTTTTGAGCCCCGAAAAAACGACTAGGACGTCTCTTCGGGGGTGAATTAATTTCTTCCCCACCCCACCCCGCGCACCAGCACCGTCTCCAACAACAGCATCTGAGTCGCTCCCTGTTTCCCCCGTCCCCGTAACAACAGGAAAAAAAAATTGAGGTACCTGGGAGCGCCGCGCGCTGCGTTTTGGTTTAATCTCGAGTGGCTGGGTGGGCATGAGAAGAGCCGAGCGAGTGTCTCTGCTGCTGCTACCCTTGGTGCTCCAGCCTCGGCCTCTGCAAGTTTGCAAAGGTCCCAGTGCGCAGCCCATTCCTGCATTCCAAGCGCCCAGGCCGAGCTGCAGCTGTCTCTCTCTCGCCAACGCCATCTCCAACAACAGCGGCAGCAGCGGCGGGAACTGTGGAAGTTACAGAAGCGGCTCCCCCACCCGAGAAGCGGCTAAAACACTTCCACAGTTCCCACTGCTGCTGCCGCTGTTGTTGGAGACAGCGCTGGTGAGAGATGGACAACTGCCTGGGTGCTTGGGATGCAGAAACGGGCTGCGCACTGGGACTTTTGCAAACTTGCAGAGCCCGAGGCTGGAGCACTAAGGGTAGCAGCAGCAGAGACGCTCACTCGGCTCTTCTCACGCCCACCCAACCACGCGGGATTAAACCAAAACGCAGAGCACGGTGCTCCCAGGTACCTCAAAATGTTTGTTTTTTTTCCTGTTACGGGGACGGGGGAAAAGCGGGAGCGACTCAGACGCTGTTGTTGGAGATGGCGCTGGTGAGAGAGGCGCCAGCACCAGTGGGAACCGTGGAAGCTATGGAGGCCTGAAAAGCAGCTGAAACACCGGACATCCACGCTGACGCCGCTTGCCTGCTGACCCGGGTAAGGGAAGGGTAAGAGACCCCTCTGTGCTCCATCATGATTGGCTGTTAGGAGCGGCTGATGGTGAGGCGTAGCTGCCCGTGGGGCACTCCTAATGGCAAGTTGCCCCCCACCTCCCCCCCAATTTCACATGTTTTAAACTAGGCCTAAATTTGGGGGGAGGGGCTTAATTTCATTTTATGCCTAGAAAACATGCTGGGTCTTCCTATTGGGGGAGCATATTGTTGGAGAAACACGGTAATAATCTAAATTGTTTCAAAAGTACCAGGCTTAAAGCTCCGAGGGAAAATACCAGTTCAGTAATGGGCTGGATTTGAGATTCAGTTGTATTTGCAAACTTTGGCTTCATCTTGATTTTTAAACTTGTCTGCACACAGCCATGGTGTTTATGAATGACATCAGGTACTTTGTCCCCTTGATCTGTGGCAATTTTTGTTCTTGCAGAACTTTTAAAAATTTTTTTA